TTCATTTCTGATCCTGTTGTATCAATTTCACCACAAATTATGTCCGTCAATGGCTTCTAGAGGACTTTAAAGCTCGATGCGTCGGGCCTGGCAGAGGTCCAAGATGAGAAAAGCCACCCTGCGCACACCCTAGGGATGAATTTAAAACTCTGTGGGCTCTGGCTGGTTTCATAGGTAAAATAATGTTTTGAGACCGATACCAATTTATTCTGCGTTTATTTCTGATCCTATCGCATCAATTTCGCCACAAATTATGTCCGTCAATGGCTTCTAGATGACTTTAAAGCTCGAGGCGTCGCGCCTGGTAGAGGTCCAAGATGAGAAAAGCCACCCTGGGCACACCCTAGGGATGAATCTAAAACTCCGCGGGCTCTGGCTGGTTTCATAGGCAAAATAATGTTTTGAGACCGATACTAATTTATTTTGCGTTCTTTTCTGATCATATTATATCAATTTCACCACGAATTATTTACGTTATTAGTTTTTAGATGTCTTTAAAACTCGAGGCGTCGGGTCGGGCAGGGGTTCGAGATGACTGACACGCCACCCTGGCACACCCTAGGGATGAATATGAACTCTGGGACTCTGACAGGTTTCATACGCGAAATGAGGTTATAAGACCGGTAATGATATATTTTATGTTAATTTCTCATGCTTTTGCAATAATCTTACCGCCAATTATTCATTTCAATTAGTTTCTAGAGGTTTTTAAAGGAAAAGGGCCACCTTCGTGAAATATGGAGATATCGTTGTTTTTCATTTTGACATTATTATTTTTCATTTTCTTTTTAAAACTGGTGCCAGAAGTGCACAATTCGCGAAAAAGTATTTAAAACTATTTAACATATTGGTACTATGTTGATACTCTCTACGGCACCTACTGTATGATGGCATAGCGATGACGTCACACTCAAGCCAATCAGCGTTCAGAAGACAGACTCGTCGGATTGTGTCAGATAAGCTGATTGGTTAAAGCTGAGCTGGTTGGAGCTGATTGGTAAAAAACCAAAGCCTCGCCGCGGGTGGCTGTATTGTCGGATAAGAACGCATTCCTGGGATAAGGACGCATTCCTGGCGTATTTTCTTTTAAAATTGCCGATAACTACGAATGGAGGCCGAAATCGGCCGTAAGGAGGTAGACAGATAGGTTTTCGGACACGGGCTACAAGATGGCTATCTCAGTTTCAATCCCCATGTTAAAGGTGGCCCTTTTCCTTTAAACACGAAGCGTTCGGCCGAGGGAAAGCCAAGATGAGTGAAAGAGTACCTTGGCACACCTCTAGGGATAAATTTAAGATACGGTATTCCCAGATCTGCCCAATACATGTTCTGAAGCTGGTAGATGGGATTAAGAAGGCCCTAGCTTTTTAATAAATTATCCCTCGCCCGTATAGGGGGGGAGGGTTGAACGAACCACCCCCTCGTTTTTTCGAGAATAACTCGCGTAAAAAGCGGCTGATCGCGACGAAACTTTCAGGACCCTCGAGTCAATTAATTGGACACCTACTCTGAAAATCTCATATTCCTGATCCAAATGACCTTTGACCTGTGACCTATTTCTTGAGGCCATGTTTGGCCGGAATCGCGATTCGGCGAGCCGCTAATGCGTTCCGTTCCGTTCACTCCCGTCCGTTCCGTTTCGGGTGTTCTGGTCAGTTGTGCTCTCGCTTTCCCTTCCGCTTGGGGTGTCCTGATCAGCGATGCCCTCCGTTCCGTTGCAGTTGCTCTGATCAGTGATCACTGATGCCCTCCGTTCTGTTGCGGGTGCTCTGATCACTGATCACTGATCATTGACGCTCTCACTAGCACTTACCACGTGACATGATACGAAGCTACCGCTCCGTTTCGGTGGCCGGCCATGAGGTCGGTGGCATCCTGTTATCATTTTTTTTTTGCATCCCGTTCCGTTCCGATACGGATGCCCTGGTTACTGGTTAGTTGCACGCTTTTTATTGCGATGTTGCGTATTACGCTGCGCAGTGCACATCGTTCCGTTTGGGGTGTCCTAATCAGTGACCCTTTTTCTAGTCTCATGTAGTGCACCGTTCCTTTCGAAGAGTTGCGCTGAAACCGTTTCCATTTTCACTATGCGTAATGAGTACCGACTATCGCTGGCCGTTCCGGCGTTCGGGGGACGGATTTAGAAACACTTGGCGATCAGATGTTAAAGTTATAATTCTGCCGTAGATCATCCTTACCTATTTGCATCGTCTTTTTCGGTTAGTTTTGGTGGTCAGGAATGGTATGTTCTCTTATTATCAGCCAGCGTAGCGTTACGCATTTATTGCGAAAGTGATATAGGTTTTCACTTGTTTTTTTCTCATCCTAGATTTTTTGGTCATCATCGTCACACCCAACCAAAATCCAATTTTAGAACACTGAGCCTGACAGCATTCTCAAATTAAGCTCAATTAAAAATCTACCGTCGTTTATCAAGAAAAGCCTCAATTAGCGGACGCTGGCTAGCAGTCGGAGTCAGCTCAAACGACCGTCTGAAAAACGTATGGAGAAAAATGTCAGCAGACAAGTCGAACAACTTGATGGCAAGCACGTTCTTACTTATCCAGAAATGTGCCCATTTTGCGGCAATTGTAGCTGTTAAATAGAACAATTTTAACAAAACGAAAGTGTTGACCACCAACAATTGTGATATTTCAAAACTTTTGGGACACCCTGTGATTGTATGTTCTACCATTGACAAACCATGGCATTTAACAAACAGAAGATAAGCAAACCAACATCAACTACCAGTACAACATGGTATTGTTAGCTGAGTGCCCCTAAGATTTACCTCTGGAAAAAGATAAATAACAAAATACCTTTTCTTGTGAGGATGCTCATAGTGAACAAGCATTGTTTATGGCTTGTCCACTAGGTATCAGCTCATAGTGAACAACTTCTCATAACTTCTCATAGGTTTGTGCACTTTTTCATGACATGATTGTGGTGTAAGGCTTCAACTATACCAGAAAGCCTCTATACCGGAATGATTAATCAAATACTAATAGACACTGGCTAGTTTTTTTTTTTTTGTCGTCATAAAGTGGGTCCCACTTGTTTTTTGCAACCAAGGAGGGGCACTATACCTGGGGGATGTGGGTTGTAGATTGTAGGTTAGGTTAGGTCAGGTCAGGTCAGGTCAGGTTAGGTTATATTTGTTTTGGTTTGGTTAAAAAAGCATCTCTGGGTATAGCGCCTCTCAATGAAGCAATGAAGCAATAGCACCTCTCAATAATGTATCAATGAAGCAGAAAGTTCAATGTCTTTAAAGTGACATAAGCTCCAATTGCAGTGCAGAAACAGCTTGATTTCAGCTCAAGATATACCCATCCCAAAGCATGCTAAATCAAGTGGTAAATGTTCATAGGCAGTCCGCAGTTGTCAGTACAAAAGACAAAGATAATCGTAAAGAGGTTCTTCCAACAACCTTCAAAATGGGGCACTAGACATAAGGCACTAGAAAATCATAACCTAGCAAAAAAAAAAAAAACGGCACCAAACCAATGCTCTTGCTGAGCATTGCACTTGAAGTGCTCAGGAATGTAGTAGTAACCGGAGGGGTGTTCACGGGCACCGCACACTGCTGCGTGCGGTGTGTGCGGTGCGTCCAGCAGGCGTGGGGGTAGGGGATGGGTAGGCGGCTCTGACGTCACGGCTGCGTGCGGTGGACGGTCCGCTGTGGCCAGTCCCGACCGGCCACAGCGATCGCTGTGTGCGGTGACGGAAGGCTGACGTAGGGACGTAGTGGGCGGAGCTTGGAGGCTGTGTGCGGTCCGACCGCACACAGGGCCCGTGAACAGCCCTAAGCATTATGCTGGGGGAGTGCCTAGCCAAATGCCCACATTTTTTGCTGTGCTTTAATTTTACAACACCAAATTTTGGATCCCCATTGCAAAAGGATTTGTTTACTGGATAACTGAAGAGCACTCAATACTTATTCTAGACAAAATGTGTAGTCTGAACTCTGAATAGACAAGTAGGTGGCAGTTCAGTCCTATAAAACTATAACTATGAAAAGGGTGACAGCCAGAAATCCTGAGCTGAAGACTACAGACCCAAAGGATCTTCTTGCAACGCATTTACGTGTTTGAACCCTACAAGTTTAGGTCCTAACTACAATTGTGACGCTGTTGATACAAATATGTAACAGCAAAAATTTTATGTTTAAGGTTAGGTTAGATTGTAGGTTTATAGGTTTTAGGTTGTAGGTAGGTAGGTTTGTAGGTTTTAGGTTGTTAGGTTGTAGGTTTGTAGGTAGTAGGTTGGTAGGTTATAGGTAAATAGGTAAGGTTAGGTCAGGTTTGATTGTTTTTTCTTTTATTTGCGAGACAAATAAGTATCATTTTTGGATTCAGGATGTCAAATCATGTGAGAATATGAAAAAAATTATCCATGAAATCAGCTTAGGACTTAATCTTGACATTTATCCAGCTATTCTTCATCCAGCGATAGTTTAAAATGCTGGATTTAATTTTACATGATTCAACTTTAAGCACATATAACAGGATAAGATTGTGTTTAATGATTAGGCAAAAATAGTTACGTTAAAAATGTTTTTTAGCATCGTAGCACGCATAACAACTCCAATCGGACGCACACCCAAATTCACAATAATTCGAAGAGCGTCACATCAAAGCGACAATTCAAAGGCAGCGTTTTATATGCAATTATTCCTTATTTTCAACCTTGGATTGTACTTACCGGGTGCTGTTCCAATTCCAGTTGATAAGAAAAGGAATTAATCCTTTATTCCTTCTTCTTTCTTGGGCGCCTAGGCCCTATCCTCTGTAAATTTATCCGGGAGAGCAACACACACAACAACAAGATGGCGTTGGTGCGTTTTCCAGCGCTGCAAAAATCAATAAATATATACGTTTATTTTCGAGAGTGAATTTAATATTTAAGCTATGAAAAATGATGATTACAAATTTTACTGTTTTAGATGCTAATAAAACACTTAATAACTCAAAATTTAAAAAATATATATTTAACTTTAAAAGTACATGGGCGACTTCAGCAACTCATATATGGGGGGGTGATTATAAACTATAAGGAAATAACAAAAAAACAATACTGTTCAGCAGTTTTTATGATAATTTATGTTTTATCAGCCATTATCAATCACGTAAAAACATTAACTTCTTTTTATTTCTTGAAAGCCAAGAGAACAATTCCTTGTTTACTTGCAATAATTGCTATTGTGGCGCACTGAGGCAATCATCGCTTTGTGAGACGCACTGTGTTGTGTTAGGATACACAACTTTTGGGCCGAATTTTTTTTTATTGCGAGTGAAAGCTAGGCATTGGCTGCTGCAGTTAAAGTAAGCGGTAGGAAAGACACTAGGTATCGGCCCATAAGTAAGTACCTTCATTTTTCCTAATCTTGTGGTAGGTAGGAAGCAGGGGCGGCGGATTCGGGGGGGCAGGGGGGGCAGCTGCCCCCCCCTGGCAAACTCGTGGGGGGGCAAAAGTATCTTTTTGCCCCCCCCCCATAATTTGTGACAAAACTTAGACAAGAAACATATACCCGACTATTCTGTTCGATCATTTGAAGATGTAACCAGATGCCCATATACTTTATCATACGTTGCCTTTCTTAAATGACAAGTGTTCGCGTTCAATTCAAGTTTTCCTCTCTTCACCCTAGTTTTGGAGACATTATAAGCGTCAACGTGACGCAGCGGCAACCCAGGCCTTCAGTGGACCGCTTACAGGGGCGACGGATACGGGGTGGCAGAGGAGGCATCGTTCCCTAAGAAACTTCTGGAGGAGGGACAAACCTATATTCTTGCCCCTCCATAATTTGTGCCCTAAACATGAGGAAAATTTCCATAGCCTGATATTGCAGCTATGCACTCCTACAGTTTGTCCAACGGTGCCTTTTGAATATGTGTAAATGCTAACCATTTCCGATTTATAACATTTTTTGTCTTTTCAGATTCGATTTAGAGATATTTTAAGTGTGCAAGAGACGCAACTCACACCCTCAGTGGTCGTTTGCCGCTATTTTGTACCTACATGAATGCCAAATCGCAAGCGAGCGGAGACGGAAGGGCTAGCCATTCGCCTGCGGGTAGTTAGGACTGATGAGCGCTCGTAATAAGCCACTCCCCTGTTTTTTTTTTCGAGCGCAACAGTTTCCAGTGCAAGTAAAATGGTAAACGCCGAGGTCGTACACATTGACCACATTGACAAATGCACGGTATGACACCCAAAGGCCAGTCATCAGATATCTGCTTTGGGCATTCGGAGGCTTGTGTGGGGCCAGTGTAAAAACTGGATGTTCACAGTTCAGTATCCGCTTTATTTCAGTATTCACTATTAAATAAGTTAAAATTAACGTTGGAAACTTTTGAGGGCTAGGGCACTGATCATTAGTGGGGCCCCCTCTGGCTAAAGGCTGGCTATAAAATACAGAGCATCGAACACGAAAGCAAAATCTAAGGCATTTTGGAAAAATGAGTAAAATGGGTCAAGCCAACGGGGTCCAAGTCTATAATGGCACTTAACGATAGCACTAACCTTGTCTCACTTTTCGTTGAAGTCTGTTCCGAATGGTTTCGGCGACAGACTGGCTGCACTGAGGTCGTTTGGTATGTGCAACTGTAATTAAAGCCACCTGATGCGCCCACACTAGGCTGAAGCTGGGTTGGAAATGCTTCGTCTTTGCAGATATCACTGGCCGCTGATTCTCGAGTGCCTGAACCGGTAGATGTCGTGGTAAAATTTGGTGTGATAATTTGGACCTTACCGCAGTCAGCGCACCCTTAAGTCCTAATAAAGAAACGCCCCCCCCCCCCCCAGAGCTTCTGCATCCAGTTCACCGAATTCCTTCACCCTAGTCCGCTGCTCGACTTCCTCACCTCAGCCCTCCGTTCCCAGCTTGACGAGCGTTTGGGCCTTAGTTAAGCCTTGCTGTGGGCTTACTGTAGGATAAACCCATCGAGACAGCCCGTCTCGGTGAGCTTAGTTGGCGAACTACTGCCTTGGGGAGGGTTTCTGGCGGATCGCTGTCCCAATAGGTTTAGATGCGACCGACTGTCTCTGAATGTTTGAGCGGTCTCCTCCCGCTGTGAGCTAGTTTCAGTTGATTCTGTCTCAGAAATACTTTTTAAAGGAAGTTAAACGAAAATCCAACGTAAAATGAACAGAGGAAATGGTAACGAGTTACCTCATTGAAGAGTAGCGCTCGCCTACTTCAAAAGGTTTGGCACCGTTCTTCAACATCTGATATACGATCGGGTTATGGCACAATTTTTCCCATTGGAGCTTTTTTCTAATACAGCAATACGAAATGCGTTACATCGTCCACTGGCGGATCCAGAGAGCGGGCATTTAAAGCAAATATTTACTCCCCCTCCCCCTGGCCCCTACATCGCCCGAAATAGACAAAACGTACCTTATGTTTCCTAATAATAACATTTTTATCAGGATTTTTTTTTTATACTGTTCAGCAGTAAGGAATCGAAATCCGAGGAGTTTTTGGATTTTGGACACTTTTTTTTTGGGGGGGGTATGTCCCCTACAGCGTCGAAAACGCCTTTCTGGATCCGCCTATGACATCATCTCGACTGGGATCTTGCCCCCCCCACGCCAAAATCGAATCCGCCGCCACTGGTAGGAAGGGTAGGTACCTGAGGGCCCGATTTGCGTTACTGTTACTTTATTGTTATAGCCATTGCAGTTGCAGTTTGATGACCCTACTTACGCATTCTAAGTAAATTTAAACTGTCAGCTTTGCGAGCTGTCGCAATAATGATAAAGGCTTGGTCGAACGTTGAACATACTTTTTTCTGTTTTGACCCATGACTCCGCAGTTTTTTGTAAATCATTCGAGCAGACTGCAGAATGAGAAGGCTGATTGCTTGTGAGTCAAAACTTTAAGTACCCTTGAGTTCAGTTTAAATGAATCATTTTGATGCCTCAGCCTACCCTGAAACTTACATTACCCTGACTCAAGTGACCTTTGACCTGTGACCTGTTTCTCGAGACGGTGTTTGAAGGAATCTCGATTTGGCGTGTGTCGGCTCTCATTATCTGGATGTTTCCAATCTTTTTGTGGTTGCTAACATTCAAACATGTGAAATGATGTTCCAGTCCTTGTGGTGGGTGTCAGGGTCATGTGAAGTTCAGACTTCAGGCCAAGATTGCTCAAAAGTTGAACGTGCCACAGTGATGAGATTGAGTAGGTGGCTGGCGGCACAGTCTTCCTGGTTCTAGCGTGGCCCTCTCGCCAGTTGCCAGCTCGCTGAATGTAGTAACGCAGGTCAAATGACATGGAGCTTCCCAGCCGCGAACTCGATATATCAAGGGTAGTTTTTGGAGTTAATTCCGAATCTAGCGACTAGCACCCATTTGAACGTTACGAAGTAGTTTTGATGCCTACGTAACATGTTATGAAGCCGTCAGTGGCAGTTGAACCTACGCCATATTCTATAGCCATATTCTGGCCGCCATATAGCCATATTCTATGGATAGCCATAGAATATGGCTATCCATATTCTATGGATAACCAGCAGGTCGCCTACTGGTTGACCTGGCCTGACCTGACCCGACCTGACCTAAATACATGAAGACATCATCTGTTATCAAAACTAACATGAAATTCGTGATCAGCGCCCTGAAGATCCCATAATTACCTCACTTTACGATGTTCTAACGGGTCCCGATTTTTCCGACTTTTAGGTCTTTAGTCTGACCTGGAAGGATAACCAATGACCTAGGACCTTAAAATTGGGTATCATCGGCTTCCTCTCGTCACGGGCAACACGCTCGTTTTTCTGTGAAGCCCTAGCTCGATCGGGGACCGAGCGACAAGGGGGTCCAACGATGAACGACCCCCCCCCCCCCCATACGTGTTCGTTAGCAGCTGGCAAAACACAAGTAAGGCGAGAGTTTCAAGCAATTTAAAATTGTCCTGATTAGTGACTGACTAGGTCGCTGATATCAAAATTATGAAATATATGTTTTATAGGTACGCATTGTAGCATTTATCAATTGCTGAATTTTCAAAGCGATCATTCAGCCAGTGCAGCTACGGTGAATTTGGAAATTATCCAGAGGTAAGGTCTAAAGCCTGAAACAGACTCTTTCCGCAGCCAGGAAATCGCATGCGAGAGCCTATTCAAATACATAGAAGCACGCTCGCATCAATCGCACGCACTTCCCGCAAGCGATTGATGCGAGAAGAATTACAATGCATTTGAATAGGCTCTCGCATGCGATTTCCTGAACGCGGAAAGAGTCTGTTTCAGCCTTTAGATGTGTCAGGATGACAGCAGGAGCTGTTAAGTTCATTTAGCGTCGCGCTTCATGCTCAGTGACATCAGAAACTCTCCATATCGGAAAACGACAAAAGTTTATGACGTCACTGTGACCATCGTCTTAAGAGCTACAACCACCAAACTTTTCTCAAATATTGCCTAGGTATTCATTTGAAACAGTTAGGTACCAAGTTTCAAGTTCATATCAGGTTTCGGAGCTATCGCACACAACGTAAAGGCGGCAACTTTATGCCCCCCCCCCCCCCACACACACACACACAGCGGCTCATGGGTTAAGAACCGCTGGACCTTGTGCTCTTAAATTTGGTAGGCTGTTTGGGACCAGCCAGAAGGAAACCCTGAACAAGTCGGTGGAGGTGTCATTTTGCACGTGCATTGTGCGATTCCGGATCTTATGAACAGATTTCGCTCAAATTCCACACACCGTTTTTTAGGGACATTACATTAGTGATCAAAATTGGTACAGCCCACCACCTGAAGTAATGTGCGGTTTTACCAATCTCTACAGATGGCTTTGACTGACGATTTTTCAATACGGAGTGATCCAGGAGTAGACAGCAAAAGATCAATTTGCAGCTGCAAGGATGACGATACATTTAAGCTACATTCCTAGTTTCATCGTAGTCTGGCTAATTGTTCCTAAGATACAGAAGCAAAGCATAACCACGACTGAAACCGCACATTACTTCTGCGCTGGACTGTACTTACAAGGTAGGTACAGGCACACTACGGAATGGATCGGTTAGAAGAGAGGCACGCGCGAGTTCGTTTCACGTCGCATTAGCGCACGTGCGGGGCTCACGATTGCGCCTGCTCGTTTATCGATCTTGAAGGCAGGTTGCTGTTAGGTTGTGGATCTTATCACATATTCTTTGTTGCAGGGTTTTAAACTGCACATAAATACAAATTGAAAATGACTACATTGGAAGACAGCTCCATTTGGGAAGATGCTGAGGTAAGATAAAGATGCTCGCAATAAAAGCCGAAATCTACTAGGAATGGTAGCTGATATCGATATTCTATCCGTCAACCATTTTCAGATAATTATGGTGTATAGTTAATTGACTGATCTTGCTTCAGCTTCATCCGGTGGTTTCTGACAGTGCAGGTTTCTAACTATTTGCTATAAATGCTTCCCCAACCATAAAGTCACATCTGAACAATGATCCATCCACCATACAGTTCATTGCTGACTGACAGTACCGGGGCCTCCATGCTTCAGGAGTCCGTGGGTGAGAATGTGCTGCGTATGAACACGGAAGAGATTGTGGGACTGACGCGGCTGCTGGACAACGAGATCCGTATCATGAAGTCGGAGGTGATGCGCATCTCCCATGAGCTGCAGACGCAGAAGGACAAAATCCGAGAGAACACCGAGAAAATCAAACTCAACAAGACACTGCCCTACCTGGTCTCCAATGTTATCGAGGTATGCATATGTGGCGTGCCGTACGGGGATGTGTTGTGTTATAGGGAGTGTGGGGTAAATGAAATAGTGAGGAGCGACAGTGGTGGTTGGGCGTCTCTTGGCCTTGTCGAGCCTTGGCATGATCAATTGTATTTACAGGATACTACACCCGGCGTTTTGTATAGTTTGTTATTTACCATACTTATGGTGATTTTGGCGAAATTTTTGCCCTGTCATCATGCTAGCGATGTCTATCTTCTGGCAGTTTTTTGCGCTCGCAATGTCTAATATCGCCATTTTTTCATATTTGCTTATCGTTAAACCATGGATGAGATAATAATGGATTGGTGTCTTCGCAGTTTTTGGCGACATTGAGCTCAGGCCTGCCATCTAGCGGGAGAATTATCGTAAGTTAGGAGCAAGCCGAGTGAAAGCCGCTGATTAGCATTGTGACACATGGGAGTATGGTGTAGAAGCGGGCTTGTTGTGCAATTTTTTAAAAGGTTATGTCTTTATATGTCAGTAAAAGCGAAGAAATTAATAGATTTATGTGCAGGGTCAGTAATAAGATAAGCAGTTCCATGTTATTTCCTCATTAAATCGTGAAACAGGGAGTTATTGGAGACTTCGCCAGCACGTGTCGTTTTCGCTATTTTTCACAAGAGTCTTTACTTGGCCTAAATCAAACAAATTGTCCGATCAAAGAACAAAACAAACGTTAAGTACTATCTATAAGTCTAATGAAAAAGTTGAACGGAATTGCTAACGTCATTGCCGCTCAATATGTCATTCAAGACATATTGAAAGAAAGACATATAGGAAGACATATAGGAAATGCACCAGGCTATTCTGGAAAACACTGCTATCCTAAAACAACAAGAAAAAGCCGCAGGTGATCGAATGAAGCTGATTGAAGGATGCATAAGCGAGAAAAAGTCACAGGAAAGTACCTATGCCGAAATAGTGAGAGGTTCGTGCTCCGAAGTTATAAGTGAAGTGTCCGCTAAGCTGTCAGCCTTGCCACTCTCTGCCACACCTCCAAACGACGTCCCAAGTATAGCCAAAGTCGTTGACGATTTTTTCGACAAAGACAAGCGAAAAAAGAACATCATCCTGCACAACCTCCCGGAGCCGAGGGCTGGAACTTTGGAGCAGAGGTCCCAGGAAGACATCAACCAATTTTTGGAGATGGTCAAGGAAACCTTTCGACTACGAGTTAGCGTGGCCAGATCCTTTCGGGTCGGCAAGGCTAACCCTGACAAACCCAGACTGCTCGTGGTAACGCTGGAGAACGAGGACATAAAGCAAGAACTGCTGAAAATGGCCCCGCAGCTCCGCCATTCAGTGCGATGGGGAAACATATACCTCTCCCCCGACCAAACTAAGGTGGAGCGCGAGGCTTCTAGGAAGTTGAGAGATGAGCTCCGCTCTCGCAGGGCAGCCGGTGAACAAAGCCTTGTAATCCGCAACGGGAGAATCATTTCCAATGACAGGCCAGTTTCACATGCCCAAGCCGGTCGGAGGTTCGATAGTGCAAGGGACAGTGCCAGATCCATTACCTTGCCAGTCGTCCGGTCGTCGGCTGCAACCCATGACTTGGTTCCAGCTGATGCATCAGCACGTAACGATACCTCCCCTGTGTTATCTTTGGATGTTACGGTGTCTGATGGCTGTCCTCCAGAACCTCAGCAAGCGTGACTGCCCGTGAAGAATGCCTCTGAGGGCACTCGGTGCCTACGTATTTGGTACACAAATGCGGACCAATTGTTGAACAAGAGGGATGATTTGTGCATGACTATTTGTGGTGAAGATCCCGATATCATTTTCATCACTGAAGCGCTACCGAAGGTGCGGATGTCGTCAGTGCCCCTTGTCTTGTTCTCTGTGCCTGGTTATGAAGTGCACACCAACTTTGATGATACCAATTACCTTGGCATTCGAGGCATATGCATCTATATTCATCATCGACTGAAAGTTTCCAACGTACATTTTCCAGATTCAAGATTTAAAGAGCAACTTTGGGTACAATTGTGCTTGGAAAACAATGACGTGCTACTTGCCGGATGCATTTATCGCAGCCCCTCAGGCGACCCCCATCGAAGTGTTGATGATTTGTCTTGCTTACTCCAAAATGCGATTTCTCTCAAGCACACTCACCTGCTCATTGTTGGGGATTTTAACATTCCTCAGATTGACTGGGAAAACAACTTTTGCAGCGCATCTGAAGCACATTTTGCCAACAAGTTTTTGTCTGCCGTTCAGGATGCATTCCTGTTCCAGCATGTCACCAAGCCTACCAGATTTAGAGAGGGTTGTAGGCCTAGTATACTGGATTTGGTGTTTACAAATGATGAGAATATGATAACAAAGATCAAATATTGTCCTGGATTAGGAAGGAGTGATCATGTGCTACTGAAATGCGATATTGCCTGTTACAACAAAAAATGTTCTTCTGCCGGCTTGAAATGGAATTTTCACCGCGCTGACTTCACGGCCTTGCGTGTAAAACTACATGCAGTTGACTGGAGCTGTTTGTCAACCATGAGTGTAGACGCGGGTTACAAGTGGTTTAGGAGCAAACTTGAATCGCTGATGAGTGAGTGCATACCCAAAGCAAGAAACGTCAAGTCTAAAAAGAACGTTTACATGAATAGCCGTTCACTAAACCTCAAGAAGAAGAAGAAGGTACTGTGGTCAGTGTACATGAGAACGCAAGACCCCATCGACTATAGCAGATATAAGATTTGCAGAAATAAGCTTAGGACATTGACTCGCCAGTTAAGGAAAGATTTTGAAGCTAAGATATCAGCAAACATGAAAGAAAACCCGAAGGCTTTTTGGAAATATGTGAACAGCCGCCGTAAAGTTAAATCAAGTATTGGTGATCTAAGAAACGACCAGGGCCAGCTTGTTAGCGAGGAAAAAGAGAAGGCCTCGCTCCTGAATGACGTCTTCTCAGGCGCATTCACTATTGAAAAAACGGATGTCGTGCCACAACTAGCAAACCGTTACACAGGGCCGCCGCTGATCGATATACCAGTCAATCTTTTCACAGTGAAGCAAAAGCTTAAAGCACTGAACCCCAATAGTGCCCCAGGAGCTGATGACATTCACCCCCGCGTTTTAAGGGAATTGAGTGGTCCTCTCTCCCTTCCCTTGACCTTACTGTTCCGAAAATCGCTTGAAACTGGGTCTATTCCTGCAGACTGGAAGCACGGTAAAGTCATACCAATCTTTAAGAAAGGTGAAAAGGAAGACCCAAGAAACTATAGACCTGTCAGCCTCACATCTGTTCCCTGTAAGATTCTCGAGTCGCTCATTCGTGATTGTTTAATGGACCATTTGCTGTCAAATGACCTGCTGTCCAAGGACCAACATGGCTTCCGCCCGAAGCGATCTTGTGATACGCAACTGCTTGACTCTATAGACTCATGGAGCCGCCTGTTGGAGGACAAGACGGAGGTCGAAGTGATTTACCTTGACTTTCGAAAGGCGTTCGACTCCGTCCCACACAAGAGACTGATAGGCAAGCTGCGCTGTTATGGTATTGGTGACCGAGTGTTGTCTTGGATTGAATCATTCCTGGATGACAGAATGCAGCAAGTGTCCCTATATGGAAACCTGTCAGATTTGGTCCCTGTGCGCAGTGGTGTGCCCCAAGGCTCAGTGTTGGGCCCATTGCTCTTCTTGCTCTATGTCAATGACTTGCCAGATGCTGTCACTTCAAATGTGCGAATGTTTGCAGATGACACAAAGCTGTTCTCAGGCATCTCTTCTGAACATGATGTGCGGACATTGCAGGCAGACCTGAACGCCCTCGTGGAATGGTCTAGAACTTGGCAGCTGCCATTTAACGAGAATAAGTGCAAAGTGCTTCATGTTGGTGCAGCCAAGGACCACCACTCATTTCAAATGGGGTCGGACAGACTGACAAACACGTCAGTCGAGAGAGACCTGGGTGTGCAGGTCGACTCAATCTTGAAGTTTCGACAGCAAGCGTCTACGGCGGTCTTCAAAGCGTCTCAAGTTCTTGCCGTCATCCGCCGGTCCTTCGCCTTTTTAGATGAATTTACCCTGCCTCTTCTGTTCAAATCTCTCGTGCGGCCTCACCTGGAGTTCAGCAGTCTTGTTTGGGGTCCGTTCAATAGAGCTGATCAGAAGGCAGTCGAAAGGGTTCAAAGAAGAGCCACCCGGTTAGTGGTGAGCATCCGCCACCTTCCATATCCTGAAAGGCTGAAGAGACTGAAGCTCCCGTCACTGTACTATCGGCGTAGACGCATGGATATGATTCACGCATACAAGATGCTGCACGGCCACGTTGATACTGATCCTTCAGAGCTTCTGGCAACGAATCCTGAAAGGCGAACTCGGGGTCACACACTTAAACTACGGAAGCCTCGTGCAACCTGCCGTGCCAGACTGAATTCATTTTCTGTGCGGTGTATTAACGATTGGAACGGGCTTCCAGCAGAAATTGTACATTCGCCCTCAGTCAACGTCTTTAAGAACAGGCTGGATGCACACTGGGAGTCGATCTGGTACTCCACTCCTGTAACAGACTGAGTACTAAGTGAAGTTATGGAAATCGGCGAGAACGGGCCCTACAGGACATCGTGCCTCTTGCCCCGATAACACGAAGAAGAAGAAGAAGAAGAAGAAGACGCTCTATGAAAAAGACCCAGCCAGTGCTGCGTAGTCGATGAAATTTCAGTGACTTTGGCTCCAACTCCGATTCTGGTATCCAAATATCGACTCCGACTCCTCCGGGCAGAACTGTCGATTCACACAGACTCCGACTCTGACTCTGACTCAGCAGCCCTGGTAAGTCTGTGGTGTCGATGACTTTTCGGTGACGTTCGACTCATACTCCGACTAAAGCTTTTAAAAATCAACCGACTCCGAGTCGGAACTGAACCGCTGGCTCTGACTACAACTCCGCAGCCCTGGCCCAAGATAGCCGCCTAAAACAACTTTGATTCGTGATCTTCTTCGTACATTGTTAATGTTATTTTAAACAAGGGGTAGAAAAGGGAGACGAAGCCTTCACAAACAAGGATCTCCTGTTGCGGATCAATCAGCTGCTGGAACAGAAAGGCATAAACATCACGCATCTCAGTTCAACGGTTTCCTAACGACTCTGCACCAATGTAAGCACTGATCAATGCAGTGCGAGCATCGATGTGACATTTGTGTACCAAGTTTGAGTGTTATCCGCCCAGCCGTTCTTGAGATATGGAAGCGGCACCCCGCACGTGCGCACGTGCAGTAGCACCCTCATAGTGACTCATGGAACTGCATTGGCCGCTGGGTGCATAACTATTGACGAAGTTTAACTGTAAGGGGCCCAGCCATTGCGGAGTTACTTTATGTGGAGCAATTGCGACACCCCTAACTTGGCACGTGGCACGTACCGTAACAATTAACTAAGATGAAGAAAATCGAGCGAAATTCGGAGAAGTAGGAATAAGCCTACCAAATATGTATGACATATTGCCAAACTGCTGTACCATTGTGAGTAAATGACCATTGAAAAGGTCGTACAAGCCGATGGGACTGGGCGTTTCAATACACACCGTCTTACGCATTTTATTTTCGTTATTACCTAAAGGCTGCTTGACATTTTTGGCTTTCAAGCATTTAAGACATTTTTTATCGGCTCAAGTCCAGTAATATTACCTCCAACTCGTGGGAATATGCACTTCAAGCCAACTAACACACCACACCCACGTGTGTCATAATGCTGAGAGATAGCGTTCACTCGGCTAGCTCCTAACTTACGATAATTCTCTCGCTAGATGGCAGGCCTGATCCCAATGTCGCGGATCCCAATGTTAATTTCCACGAGACACCAATCCAGTGTTATATCATCCATGGTTAAACTATTCTGGTCTAACAGGCTACACTTAAACCCCTATTGTCCAACTGTCTCGTTTCTGACCCTTTCATGCCGTGATCTGACCCACTGTGTGCGGGGCAGTTGCTGGATGTCGATCCCCAGGACCTGGGTGAGGAGGATGGTGCCAATGTCGACCTCGACTCACAGCGGAAGGGCAAGTGTGCAGTGGTGAAGACATCGACCAGACAGGTGAGGGGCCGGAGCTATCGGGGGTTGCAGTGCGGTAGAGGCTAACCGGGTTTCCTGTTGTATGCCTAGAGATGGTTAATGGTAACGTCTGTAACTGGTAGGTAGCTGATTTCTACGCTGATTGCCTAGGACACTGACCACGTGACATAATTATCATATCTTTTCGTCAAAGTGCTGCGTATGAACCGAGTTTTTCTTTTTATGTTAGCCGGATTTAAGGGTGCACGATCGGGCCAATACTTTTTGCCGCTTTATTAACTAGTCACAAGTCGAGCACGGAGCAATCATCACATATTTCTGGCAGTGAGCCCCCCGGGAGCACTGAATGTCGTCTTCGTCTTTTTTATGTGTTAACATTGAATGACATTTATTCTCACTATGATAGAAATAATTAAACACCACTGCTATCGTCACTGTCATCTTGCGTTGTACCCTCCCGCTCTCCCAACCCCTTAAGTCTAACTGAACCCCGATAACCCTTCCCCACAGACATACTTCCTGCCGGTGATTGGCCTCGTGGACCCGGAGGACCTGAAGCCGGGTGACCTGGTGGGCGTCAACAAGGACTCGTACCTGATCCTGGAGGCGCTGCCGGCCGAGTACGACTCGCGTGTCAAAGCCATGGAGGTGGACGAGCGGCCCACCGAACAGTACTCGGATGTCGGAGGGCTGGACAAACAGATTCAGGAGGTATGGCCAGGGGGATCGGGCCGTGGAGACATGGGGTGCCGTTTGGTGGGCACTGTTTGGTGCTGCCGTGATGAACATCTGTGTTGAAGTTAATTTGACTTTTTGCGTAAAACTACAGTTATTAAATTGCATTATTATTGCGTTTAACTACAGTTTGTAGCAATTTTTGATGTTCACAGGCTTAGGAGTGTCATGGAACTATTTCATGATACCGGTGATTTTTTTTAATTATAAATTTAGTCCGAACCTTTTGATGGGAAGGATTCACAAGGACAGAGTCACCGCTAAGCGAAGCTTGTTGCGATGACCCTGCCCTCTACCCTACGATCGCGCAATTCCGATTCTATGGCAGAATTTAGAGTCCAAAGTTTAACGTGCGCACAAAGCCGCGCACGGCCGGTCCCCTCGCTGACTTCGCCTGGCTACGGCCTGCCACCAACCGCAACCATACCTGTCAGGAGGCCCATAAATGTTGAGCGCCCGTCGCGCTTCGAACCCGGACTGTCATAACCGGGAACGCGTGCTCTCACCACGCAGAGTCCAAAGCTCTAACCAACTGAGCTACGGGACCGGCTGACGGGTCATGCTATCATATCGTGATGTATGTTTTTCCTGTTTATCTCGTTAACCTTCACGTGTACTGTCTATTGTTTGCTATTTTACCGTGCGGTCGTTAACTGTCTGTTGGCACATTTCAGCTGATCGAGGCTGTGGTTCTACCGATGACCCACAAAGACCGGTTCACAAACCTGGGCATCCAGCCGCCGAAGGGCGTCCTCCTATACGGCCCGCCCGGCACCGGTCAGTACCAATGGGGGGTAACGTGGGTAAATCTACCAATGGATATGTAGTTTACTACCAAAGACTGGTTCACAAACCTGGGCATCCAGCCGCCGAAGGGCGTCCTCCTATACGGCCCGCCCGGCACCGGTCATTAGGGGGTAACTGGGGTCATTTTACACTGATGGATGGTATCGATCCCCTATCTTCACCGGTCAGGGGTAGGGGTTCCGGCGAGAATGCTGTAATGCTGTAACGACTTCTCCATTTCACCAACCGCCCGACACGAGCCAGTAGTGTGATAAAATATGTGGGCTAAGAGTGTGTGGAAGGGATGTCTCTCAGGTGTCTCCCAACACTATTCTGGGGAAGAGGGGCTATTAGTGGAGCGAACGACAGTGGCATAACGCTGATATAAACCGTGTCAGCTGAGGCGTAGTTACACTGAGCAATGGGACGACATTGTACTGGTCGAATATAGCGCCCTCTGTCTGAGTAAATGTAACACAATATTTTCGTCCGTTTTTAGTGTTTTCCTGTTGCACTGATGGGTCATATTGCTTTCGGCACAGACAACCCACCCCTAACGTGTTGGAATAGATGGTTTCGATCATTGCTTCTTAAAAAAGTTTGAAGAGTGATGTGATGTGGTCAAGTCTAGGTTCTAAAAATAGAAACTTTTGTTTCTGACTGTGCTCTGCGAAAAGCGGTTCTCCTATCATACCATCAATTTGTCTCCTCCCAAATCTGTACCACACCACTGACATCTGCCCTCCCCCACCCCTATCCATAGGTAAGACGCTGCTGGCGCGTGCGTGCGCGGCCCAGACCAAGTCGACATTCCTGAAGCTGGCCGGACCGCAGCTGGTACAGATGTTTATCGGTGACGGTGCCAAGCTGGTGCGAGACGCGTTCGCACTGGCCAAGGAGAAGGCGCCGGCCATCATCTTCATCGACGAGCTGGATGCCATCGGTGAGTGGTGGATGGAGGGGGGGGGGGACTTTAGGGCAATGGTGTTAGTTCAGTGGTTTGGGGCAGAGAGGAGGAACTCAGCGTGTCCGGGGGGAGGGGGTAGGGCCGTCGTGAAGAAATCGCTGAGCTGTCCGGGGCTGTAGACGGTAGGAGTAACTCATCTCGTGGTATTGCTTAATTTTGTGTGTGTGAGGGGGAGGGGGATGGTAGGATGGCCTACACACTGCGAAGTGAGCTACCTATTTTGGCTACCCCGGCCGTCTGTGATGGGGTGTTGATCGGTAACCTGATGCTCCAGGTACGAAGCGTTTCGACTCGGAGAAGGCCGGCGACAGGGAGGTCCAGCGGACCATGCTGGAGCTGCTTAACCAGCTGGACGGATTCTCCTCCACCACCGACATCAAGGTAGGACCGACGCGGTGGTATTTACTCAGAGTATCAGAGGGGAAACTCTGTGTATCAAAGGGCGGTGGGGGGCGGAGAAGTGAAGTTCAACCAATTGGACGGATTCTCCTCTACCACCGACATCAAGGTACATCAAGGTTCCCTAGGCATTTACACAGAGTCTGGGACCTGTGGAGAGGAGGTGGGGCGGATAAATGATATTAACTGGACGATCAGATGAAGAACGATAGTAGCTTGTTCTCAATCACGGGCAACAGGAGGGGTCGGAGAGATTATGCCGGTCCCGTAGCTCAGTTGGTACTGATAGAGTGTTGGACTCCGTGTAGTGAGAGCACACGTCCCGGTTGCAAAAGTTGTGGGTTCGAGGCGCGACGGGCGCTCGATGTTATGAGCCTCCTGACGGGTATGGTTGCGGCTGGTGGCAGCCGTAGCCGTAGCCTGCCGGGGACTGGCCGTTTCACATGCGCGGCTGTGGGCTTAATGGAGCTAGCTGGCTTTCTGATGTTACGAATGCGGACTGGCGATAGCCGCCCTCTAAATAAATAGCGTGCTATGTATGATTATAGGTATTGAAGGAATGGTTGTTGACGATTACCTTCGTTGTTCGGCTGTTCCAAATCCAGATCAACAAGTGATCAGACGATGCATGTATGTGATGTTGACTTGCAAAATAATGGATAAAACAATGACATGGTCATATTGGCTTTGCTGTGCCAGCATTGTTGTGTGGCTAGCCTGCAAAATGACATTATATAACACCATGATAATCAATTATGCAAATTGGAAAGCGAGGTTGAGCCATGTCATATTTGGAATGATTAGATCGGGTTGCATGACAAACGCTAGCAACATTGCAAATTGCAGTTTATTTTGCTTATATAAAAATATAATAATAAGGCCCTCATATAACCTAGCATGTCTACGGCCTGTTACGAATCAATAGAGCCCTGCACGCGATATTTCAAACACGTCCCGTCGATACGAGCTGCAAATGTCATCGGACAGTTACCGACGGCAGCTCGCTCCCCGGCCTGCCTGAACGGCCGTCTGTTCCGATATCTGGCGGCGTTAACAAGTGAGCACCGCTATCGGTCTGGGCATTCGGTCGGTGTTTACGACTCTGTCCTGTTTATGCGGTGCTAATGAGTGCTGCCAGCCGGTGATCCGAGTGCCGGTGATACTGACTGGGTGCTCGGGCGGCGACGCCTCGCTGCCTGGTCGCCGCTGTGGTACGGTTGGTGTTTGTATGATCGATAGGTGACACGTGTGCTGACCGAACCCCGTGTCCACCGCCGCTGGTGCCGGGTTAGGTGGGGTGTGTCACTGTGTTTGGCGGGGCGGCACTGCTCGTTGGTTTCTGGTAGCTTTGTTGTTTCAATGTCAGGCGCACTGAGCCGCTGACATAGGTAGCCTTTTTATGGCCGCTGATAAGGCGAGGACAGCAAATTATGGTCTTAGTTTTATTGCTGTCTTGAGCTTAGTGGGTATTGAAAAAGGTACTTGAAGTGTCATGAGGTTTTCGCTTCGGCATGCGATGCTGTCCATGTTGGTGAATATCATTGTAATGTTGGCTTTTCGCGAGCGAAAACGGCTTGGACAAGTGTATCAATGTCTGTTGACACTGCGAATAATATTGCAAACTACAAAGTCGATTGCCGTAACATCCTACCCTTTGTTCGCCTTATTGGCCTTGTTGCCGGCCTGTATCGCCTTGTTTGAAAGTAATTTTATTCATGTAATGCACCAATTTCCGATATTATTGCAATGTAAATACATCACGTTGCGCATGTGCGACTTTTGCCAATCTTATCTTTTTGTCGTTTTTTTTTATTATTATTTCCAACGCCGCTTGGCGGCCGGTTTCTCGACCGCTTCTGTCATGCGCTGTTGTACTGTTCGCCAGCTTCTCGGCGTGTTCTCGTGTGTCACACGCTGACGATTGTCTGCTACTCCATCAGGTGATTGCCGCCACCAACCGTGTGGACATTCTGGACCCGGCACTGCTGCGGTCCGGCCGACTCGACCGAAAAATCGAGTTCCCGCACCCGAACGAACAGGCCCGGGCCAGGTGAGAGAAGCGGCTGGGACTGGAATGGACTGGGCTGGGCTGGGCTGGGCTGGACTGGGCCGGGCAGGAAGGAAGGAGGGAAGGACAGGCATCAAATTAAACGGGCAGGCGCTAGCTAATTGAGGGTTGATGCTGAAATGAGCTGAAAGGACAGGTATAGGACAGGAGTGGAACGGGTATTGATTGAAGTGAGAAGGATCATGCTGAATTGAGACTAAGTCCGGACTAAATAAAGGGAATGAGTCCGGAATGAAGGGAGGGGCTGATTCCGACTGGGGAGAGTCAGAGAACCCTTGCCCGAACTGATGGAATCCAGCCCCAACTGAACCAAGGTACTAACAGATGATCCCTGTCTGCCCACCCGCCAGGATTATGCAAATCCACAGCCGTAAGATGAACGTGTCTCCGGACGTCAACTTTGACGAGCTGTCCCGTTCCACGGACGACTTCAACGGCGCCCAGTGCAAGGCCGTCTGCGTCGAGGCGGTGAGTGGCTTCACTATACGTCTGAAACCGTCTGGCCAGCCCATGTAACAGTGGAATGCCTTTCGGTGACTTTTGTCAGTGTTGGGTTGAGCAGCATTTTCATGTGATTTGCTAACTAAATATATTGATACATTGTGGAAGTCAATCTGTCATGCTTCCAGAATAGAGTTTTTTTTTCAAATTTCGCAGTCATCGTAGGCTAGCTTGCTTCACAAGTTTTTTTTTTTACAACATGCCTTCAACCTATGAAACTAACGCGTCGTCTCAATAAAAGAGCTCAGTGTAATGATTCCGGTTGATGATGCTGTATCGGCCAGTATGTTTTACAGTCGTGCTCTTTGCGTGTCTAGGGCCGGCCTACAATGGAAGTTTTCCGTTCGAGCTGACCCCGTTCCAACTGTTCCCGCAGGGTATGATCGCTCTCCGTCGGGAGGCCACTACCGTAACACATGAGGACTTCATGGACGCCATCATGGAGGTCCAGGCCAAGAAGAAAACCAATCTCAACTACTACGCTTAGGGGCCGATCCACCACACACACAACTAATACCCTACACACCGTGATCGGTGCCAGAAGGCCGCTAGACCACCGGCTACGACTCTAAAGAGCTAATGTGGATAATTTATTTTATCTCGGTGTACGGCTCGCGTCCTTCTGCGTCCGCTGCGTATGGGAGACGCGCCCGGCTTCATGTGTGAAATGTCGCCACCAACATGTCCCATTGTTGAATACATGGCACACCGTATAATTTGATAGTGTTCAGTGCGGTTCATTCGCTTCGTCCGACAGCCGCTGTCGTCGCTCTACGAGCCCATTAGCCGCGTTTGGGCTGTTCCGTATTCTCGGCACACGCTTTGTTACCCGATTGGACGGCTGCAGTTGGGTTCGATTGAGCTGTTTTGGCGTGGAAGCACCGGTTCAATAGACTCGCAGATGTTTGCGTGGAGCAGCAGCTGTAGCAATCGAGGGGTGGTCGGTGGAGGTGTAGATGGCGCTGGTGTATGTGCTCCGACTCGTGGTGGCCGGGATATGGCAGCCCGTAGTGGAAAGAAGCCGGAGGGCGGTACACTGGTGCGTACGCTGGACTCGAGGGTGGTACGCTGGGGAAACTGGCAGAGGTGCACTGAGTGCTCCATGGGTTCGACTGTGCAGGTTAACGTTGAATCGGCTTACGACTTTCGCAAATAACGTCAGAATGGGAATGCGCTATCTAGGAGCATGATGAAAAGTAATGATTTGTTGGTGCGATGAAATCGGTAACAGACGCTACGCGTTGATTGATATTCGTAGATATCTGCGACTTTGAACAAAGAACATTACAATTTGAAAAAATAGAAGGCCGTCCGAAATTGTCCAGTACTTGAAGACGGTAGTTACATCATTTGTCGCATTTTGATGCAATTATCGTGGCTCATGGTTACATTATGTGACAATGCGTGACCTCCTGCTGTGCTGGCACTTTACAGGACTCCTACGGCAAGCCATTGACTTAGGTTGGTGTTCCCAATTGTTGTACCCGGCAAGCTGGAGGCTATCCCATCACTCACCCGTCTTATGGCACCATTTCCGGTTGCGTCATCCGTTCGTAGCGGGCTTTATTGAACTTCCATGCAAATCTTGTGTACACACTAGTGATTCAAGTGACCCTGTATCAGCTAGAACAAGCCCGGGAAACGCGTTTTCCTCGCCAGCGGTTTGTAGGCGATTATCGGCACCCGGTTGATCATATCAACCTGACTGGTCGATAAACCACCGAACTTCCGTGTCTGCCGCGTTATCGCCTTTGTCTTCGAGGCCATATCGTGAGCGACGATGTTTATCGACAAAACACCCTTCCTGTCACCGTCCCCGTCCCACCGAGAGCCACAGTGGCATCACGCCCAGATTAGTACTTGAACTCCTAGAATCGGTTAGTTTAATTAACCTTCGCCCCAGTGGGGGGGGGGGGGCATATGTTACCACCCTGTCGCGTTTTTCGCGTGTGAATAAAAAACCGCGGCGCGTAGCGCCGCACCGCTTGGGGTAGCTTTTGGTACATCAATTTTGGACAATGTGTGAAATTTTTGACCCCAGGTCATGTCAGGTCAGGTCACCAGGTCAAGTTAACTGACCAAGCCTTAAAAAAAAAGTTTGCAATCATGTCCAGCCTGCAGTGTTTGTCAGAAAGGTTTTAAACTTGGTGGATTGCATGCTGTTATGGGAGCCTACAATTTGTATATCTCGGATTTTTTATATCCGTGACCTAAGGTCAGGTCAGTGGCATGACCTTTCCATTACAAGTCAATGGAGAAAAATGAAAATGCCTCTAGATCCGTGTGTACGCATAGGAACAGTCCAAATATTTCAGAATCACAATGATTTAGTCCACTCGTGATGACCAAGGTGTCATTTTTGCTGATAGCCTCTAGAAAGGTCATCCGAGGTCATTTGAGGCTACAAACAGTTTTTTGCCAATAACTCGCGATTGGAAAGAGATAGAACGCTGGGGATGGTCTCATTGTGTTTGTCTTGTTGAGACGCATCGACTGATATGCAACATGACCTTTTCCGGTCAGGTCATGACCTTGACCTGAGGTCAAATTTTTAAGTTGACCTTTCAAGGTCAAATTATAGTTCATTCGACGCGTCTCGGTGAGGGGAACACGATTCTGGCAATAGAAATGTCGTGGCTTTTTGTAGTCGAAAGTTATTGTCGAAAAAACACTTTTCGTAAAAACAGCTATTTTTGGAGTTTTTGCCCTCTGGAGGCTAAACCGTTGACCTGAGGACAATATTGATTATGACCTTTTCAAAAGAAGAGTTCAAAAGCTATCGAGTGCTTTTCCATGCGTTTTTCTAGCTACCATAGTTCCTGAGATAGCGGCATGTTTTCTGAAAAATATAATGACAATTGGCAAATTTTGACCTTTGATGACCTCTGGTGACCCCAATATTGCTCTAAGGTGAAAAATGACCGAAATACTTTCAAACGTACGTATTGAGAGCTATCGACTGCTTTTACCGCGTCTTTCTAGCCCTCTTAGTTTTTGAGTTAGAGGTGGGTGGTAACATATGCCCCCCCCCCCCTCACTAGGGCGAAGTTGGCCGAGACCGCCACTGGGGCGCGGCTGCAAATCACTGCAGGCTGCAAATCACTGTCTGACGCTTGAGGGCAGCTAATTTTGAAATGAGCCCGCTATCGATAAGCTGAAGCCTTTGAGACGATGACATCAATAACGGTTGTCGATCACTCGTAAACTGATTAGCTGAATATCGATGTGCCTAAGGCTGGCGGCGTTTCTTTGCACTCTCAGCGAACTGTTTGCAATAAGGGGGCTTAGACGTGGCCATCTAATCCTTATTGACAGGAGTGCTGATGTGATGGGTCCTTATCAATAGCTTGCCTCCAATTTGCCAGTGGACCAGCAATCCGCATGAAGTATCAGCCGTCAAAATAGTGCATTGCCTTCCTCGGGCTGGCGCTGCGTACGCGATTACATATATGCTGTGGGTGTACCTTTTAGCGCCTCGCTCTCTTTAGTCTTTTGTTTGATACTCATTGGTCATCATCGTATATCGTACCTACGTACACGGTACAAAAGCCATTAGTATTGTCTCAACTACGAAATTGGCATGGAATTCGGTACGGATAACTATGTCTACTCTATGTGTCTAAAGACGAATCTTTTAGGAAACGTAAGCACATTCTCTGACTGAGAGCAAGCGTCGCTACGTGCCTTCAAACTATCTTTTACAGTAGGCATTTGCTCGATCACTTTTAAGTATTCACACTCTCCCAAATTTCTATCGAGTAGGGGAGAGAGGTCATATTGCGCCATGTTCTTAAATGCGCCACACCTTCCTCCTGTCCAAAATTCGATTCGAATGAATACTCGAGTGTGTGCATTTACTTCACCACCAATAACTCGCTCTTGTTCCGGTCCACGGGGGCAGGTGAGGTGTCGCAGCTTTCTCGCAGACCATTTTTTGTGATTTCCTCTATTTTGTTACGCGAAACACTGAAACAGTCTATTTCGACCTTTGCTAGTGTCATGGTTTATCTTAGAGATAGTGATTCAACTAATAATCATTGTTAATTGCTCGTTTAATGGTAGTTTTGAAAGTTTATCACCACCGTGGCTTCGCTGTCCTCGCCATATTTGAAGCTCATGAAAAATGTGTTCCATTCGTAATTGCGCCCAACCTATTTGCGCCCTATTCTTCAACCCAGAGAAACAGCATCTGGTGGTTGGGACACATTTCATTGAACACTTTGATTATTAGACCGCTCACCTTACCATTACCTTAGCCTTCACAGCATAAATGGTTAATGGGCTGACACGTTCAAATAGGCTACTTAGTTAGGTGGCAAACCATTGTTTTTAATAGGGCGCTTTTACATGAGAGGCATGGGCGCTTTTTGATGGGGTAGTCCGTAAATGCGCCCTTTGCAGGTGTGTCGGAAAACTTATCTCTTGTTAATTTTAATGGGTGTGATACAAATTAGGAGTTGTAATTTGATGCCAAAATAACTGAGGTACAATTTGAGATATCATCAAGCATGACAGCTGGTCAACTTTAGCCGCAATAGGCCGATATCCTTAAGGTGGCGCAATATGACCTCTCTCCCCTAGAGTGGATGTCCATTCTCCATGCCCCCTCCCTCCCAAGAAGGCCCTATAAATCATCCCTTCATCAGCCATGTATGTAGGTAGGTACCGTCTTCATATACCGGATCTCCAGCCATCGCACACCGTCCCGCGGTAGCGGCTCGTCGGTGCGCCGTCGGCGCAGTTTCTACTACGGTAGGGGAAATACCCTACCAGTTTCCACTACCAGCATCACCTGCGATATGGCAGCGCTCAGACAGTTGCCGGTGAACCGCGGAGAGGGAGGGTGTGCGCGTGGCCGGCGAGGAAGATTATCGTGTTCGTATCGTATTTGTGCAAATTGAGCGTATTACGTGCTACCTTTGATTGTATAGAACTGAGCATAGGCGTTTGGAGGTCTGTGGATCATCTGTTAAATCTGACTAAGGTAAGAAGGAGGGCGCATGCGATGCGATCCGGTGTTACTGTATCGACTTCAAGTAAGCATGCTTGATGCTTATAAGATAAGAATAGCGTGTAATATTTGGTGATGACCTTTTTGGACATTTGGTTCCTTCACTGATGTTAATTTTGTGGTGCCAACGCATGCTGATTGCTGGGCAATGCATTATAGGCATGCATCGATAACGATGGATATTTCGATATGGACTTGGATGGTTGGATTGGTTGGATTGGATGAAGTGTCATTTTTGTATCCTCATCAGGGAAATGATTATTCTTCGTTTTAGTTTGGGGCCAAGCTTAGATGATAGATCACATTGGTCATTGATCATTTTTCACCTCAGTGCAGCCCGAAACTAAAACGATATTTCGCGATTGATGGTCACTTATTTGATTATTTTAAGGATGAACTGAGCTCTATCAGCTGTTTGGGGAATAGATAAACCCACTCATAAGTCCTTATACCTACCATGTGCTTATAAATATCGTTTACCTATGTGACCGTCAGGGGCGGATCCAGAAAATCTCCAAGGGAGGGGCCATTAGAAACCAGGAGCCCCCCCCCCCATAATCCCACCTGTTGGAGGCCCCATCTTCCCACTTGTTGGGCCTCCCCCAAAAAAAACTGCGTCTATTGAGCTTATCTAGCTGTTCAGGCAACATCTCAACATCTGTGCAGGCTTGGAGGCCCTCTGTGCAGGTTAGGAGGCCCTGTAAAAGTGGTCATCTCTGTGAGTACCTATAAGAGACCTCCAAGTTATGAAAAGCTTTACCAATCTTCTAACAAAGAAGTCTTCTCAGCTAGTCTTCTAAGAAATAACTAAGTGGGTAGGTTAAAAAAAAACTCATCGGATTTCGGCCACTTTATTTTCAGGAGGCCCCCTTTTCAGCTTTTTAACTTTTTAACTTTTTATTTTATTTTTGAAAAAAAAATCGGCCAAGGGTGGGGCCATGGCCCCCATGGCCCCCCCCCTTGTATCCGCGCCTGGTGACCGTGTGATATCACAAAGACCGGCTGTAGCTGTAGGTACTTTACATACATCACCTCACCTCACTGATCTCGTGATCATGTGTCTACCTACCTGGATTCCATAGCCCTGCTGGATACCTACTACTAAGAGCCAATTTTATGACGCTCTGGGTTAGCATGACACACCTGACTATCGCTTTACCTAACTACCTAACCGTGGCTATTCATAATTGTACTTACTTACCTAACCAACCACCTTACTATCTGGCTACTGTAACCAATCATCTGACTATCGCATTACCTGAGTGTTATGGTTATCGAACTATGCACGAACGGTCACGGGTCAGGTAGGTATAACCCAATGTTGTTGTCTTTTGCGCATCGATTTTATGCTCCCTGACCATATTATGTTCGTAACTTAACTTATTCGAGGTTTGTTGTCAAACATATTTTGCAAGTTAATGTGCCCATTATCCTTGTTCGTTGAATACGATAGGTAAACTCGGTTAGTTTATGAAGGGTCATTGTCATTTTCCTGCAGAAGGGATTTCCCAGATGACACTCGGGCCATCATCAACTATTCTCATCTCATCTCGTAAAATCCTTGCTTATATAGACATTTCATTTCAATATACTGCAGCAGCAAATGCGATGTCATTAGTGGGTAATGCGCTGGCTGGCGTGCCACCCGGCTGCATGACAATGAGGTCCTGCACGGCGCCCCTGCAGGCCGGCCGGCCAGGCGGGCCATATGCGGGCTCACGGCCACCAGAGTCGAGCTGGGACAGGCCAGGGCCGCTGCGAGTTCATGGTCTCGCCGAGCTAGGAGCCGAGACACGAGGGATATCTTCTGAGGGAGATGGTGCCTTGCATCATCTTATCGACATCGCCCACCCGACCGGCGCGCCGACCGACGACCTTATTTGCTCAGCGGAACGTCGACGCCGGCAGCCGACGACGGCTCGAAGTAACGCAGTTCAACGGCGCTGAAGGGTCCCCGGAGGGCCGATTGGACTGGCGAGCAGCTGTTGACTCTCAAAACAGGTGTCAGCGCCCTGCGTGGGGAACGGTGTATCATGATGACCTTGATCGTAAGTTTATGAGCGACGGGTCTGATCGTTTGATCGGGCCCGGCGATGGCAAAACATGACATGTGAAATGTCTTGACAACATGCCTTGCATTTGCAATCGAGCGGCTGTCTGTCAAACTAGGTGAAAAATTATCGCTGGTCTGAGCGGGCAGGTCGAGTAGCAGTATTGCTGACTTTTCCTCGACCGCACCTCGGTGTTATTTTCACTTTCTGCAACCGATACAGAAGTCGCGGTGGCCAAGAAGCAAAGCGTCTCTGCCGCTGACGTGCTGCAGCGGAGGGATTTGACGGACATTCTGCGGTTGCGGAACACTGCGCTGCTGAGGAGCGTGACGACTCTCGGTCATTACACCATGACGGATGAAGTGATAGTGAATATTTCTCGTTCCCGCACACCAGTCTAGACACAATGAATGGGGTTACACCTGCAGAGGGGCTTGTCATTTCTCTGGTTAGTACAACGACGTCATGGCTGCGACATGGCGACCGCAGCCGGCCGGCGCTGACGAATGTCCTCCCTCGACAAATGACCACTCAGTATTGATGTAGCGACCGTGCACTGACGTGATGGCTCGTAACCTGACCCCGTGCCCTGTGCCCGTTTGCAGCCTGTGGCGGCAGCCAGCCTGGGGACATGCGGTGACGTCGCGATGACGTCCCACCAGGAGCCGGGCGGCGGCGGGTGGGTGGCCGCCGGCCCGCCGCCGCCGCCGCCCCCGCCCACGGCCGCCAACATCCAGTACTGGAAGCAGCAGCAGCAGCAGCAGCAGCAGCAGCAGCAGCAGCAGCAGCAGCTGTGGTACGAGCCGCCGGCGCCCGAGCTGGCCGCCAGTCCGCCGGATGCGGCCAACTTTGTGACCACCGTGACGGTAGCCGGGTGGCCCGGCGGGGGCGGCACGCCCGGGTCGCCGCGCTGTGAGTCGGCTCGCTCGGACGCTGCCGAGTCGTCGTGCAGCTCTCTGAGCCAGGAGAGCCTGTCTCCGCCGGCGCGCGCTGCGCCTCCGCCCACCGAGCTGGCCGCTGTGCGCTCCGTGACGGCGCCGGCCCGCTGGAACCGAGTCACACGCAACGGCCTGGTGGTCTACGTCAGGTGAGTGCCGCCGACCGCGGCTCCGGGTCGGTCGGAGGCTGGGGAGGGCCTGTGGGGGCTGTCTGGATGCGTGGGGAATGTATGTGACTCGGCTAATGCCAATGCGAACAACGCGACTGCGGAAAGCGAGCGATGGTAACGGGCAACGGCTTGAGCGGATGTCTTCAGGCTTGTGGAACACAACTAACGAACATCTACTTTCGAGCTGCGCGATTGTTTGTCTTTTCTATCTATCTGCTTGATACAGCCGTATTTTACTACGACCCTATCAAGTCGTAGTTTACGTAGCTTACTTGATATAAGATGCAGAGAAAGCTACTGGCGCTCGAAGACATGCAAAGAAGCGGTCGAGTAAGCTGCTTTTGTGAGTTGTGCACATGACTCAAAAACCGACGGAGCTGGTTGTGCTTTGTATGATCGTGATAGCGCCTAGCAACCCTGGCAAAGAGTGACCCATATGAGTCATTGATGGAATCCAGATTTCGCCCAGACTTAACTTTTCTCTTGTCTGCTTTTTCTGGGCCATAACATGGCTAGATCCAGCCCAGGCACGCTAGATCATGACGCAAGCGACCGTGTCTGAGCTCGGGGCGTCTTTTCTCTGTTATCTTTGACTGTCAATCGGCGTTGGAGTGGTGTGGGGAGGTCCGGTGAGGGGTGCAGCGGGTGCAGCGGCCGGCGGTCGCACCCGTACCCGCGCCGTCTCGGCGGACGGTCGGTCGGCAGGAGGTGGCGGCCGACCTTGCTCTGCACCTGCAGCGGCCAGCTCGGTCCCTGCAGACGGTCAGCCGCACCGGCAGCGTGCATAAATCGGCGCGCCGCCGCTGGACCCGGCGACCGGTGCCCCGGGCACGCCGTGACGTCACGCGCCGGTATACCGTGACGACCGACCGTCACGGCGCGACGAGCGCGCTTCCCCGGAGCGGCCGGCCGGCTCTGCGAACGGCCTCATAACGCGCCGTTGACGCGGCGCAGTAAAGTCGACTCATCGCCGGCCCGACCGACAGCGCGGCGGCCGGCCCCGCCCGGTGGCCATGGCTGAGGCAATTAGGGGGCGCGCCGCCCCCCGTGGGACGGCTGCACGGCGCAGTCGCGGGCCGGCCGAGCGGGGGCACCGGCCCGTCCACGGTCAGCGAGCTCCACGGGCGCGGCACGGACACCAGCGCGCTGGTACACGACTACGCCGAATTGTGATGAGATAGTTCGCAGAAGCTGCTGACGCCACGCGGTAGGCACTCGTCGCCTCTCGGGGCGCGCTGCGACGCGGAGGCCCGCGGAGGCCGGCAGGGGGCTGTGTCGGCGGCTGGCCGGTCCTTAGTTCCAGCGATCCGGTGATGGAGCCCGTGTGTCTCGGAAAGGCGGCCCCTCGCTCACGCGGAGTGTGTGGGCGGCGCCCACACAGCTCGGCTTCCCCACAGCTGGGCCTCAGCTGGGCGACGCCCTGCCCCGTGTCACCTGAGTTGGGCCCCTCCCTGCGCAGCATCATCACAGCTGCACTCTCGGTATCTGTCACTCAAAGTGACACAGACAGAGACTCGGAGAATGACACAGAGTGACACCGACACTGACAACACGAACCGCCGCACGGGCGCACAGCCTACCGGCTCAGGTGCGCGCAGCGGACGGCCCGCTCGAGTCAGACGTCGCGTGGGCGCGCGTGTCTGTGGCAGCTCAGCCCCGGATGGCACTTGTCGCACTGTCGGCTGCGTGTCGCGCTACCTCGCCTCGATTCGCCTCGATTCGCCCCACCGCGACCACGTAACCGGCGGCTGCCGCACTGATACCATCAGCCGTCCGCCGCCTCGAGCCCGCTCGGGGAAAGTGGCCGCCGCTGCTGGCGAGCGACAGCCGACAACTCCGGTGGCGGCGGGCCACTGCAGGAGCCGTTTTCCCGGCCGGCTGCCGGTGTTTTTCGGCCACCGGTGGCGCTGACGTCACCTCAGGCGGAAACTTCTCTCGCCAAGTTGGCTGCCGCGCCGTGCCGAACGGTGTGCTGCGGTGTTTTGCAGTGAGTCGTCGGTCTGGCCGCAATGCGGGTGCTCTTCTGAATTTCCAACCGGGTCGACCGACTCTTGAAGCTCTCCTGATGACTTCTGCCCTCCCCATCTGCGGGATTGCCCAAGTCGCCCGACTTTTAACTTCTAAGGTAGTCTAGTCTGACTCCCCGTGTCGCCCACCGTATCAGTCCTCGGACCGCCTGACTCCCATTCTCCGTACCCCAGCTCTCGACAGCCTTGGCCGCTAAGACCTATCTCTTCTCTCCCCAGCCTCAGCCCCTCAGGTCACCCCTCTTCCGACCTCTCCAACTATCAACGACTCGCCAGCCCGGCCACTATATCGTCGTGGCCGGCAGTTGTGTCGAGCCGGACGGCTGTTTTTCGCCGTTGTTGACTGCGCGGTGGCGCGGCGGCGGCCCGCTGCGGCTGTGGCATTGATCGCCGCCGACCAGGTCACTGGAGCGTCCGCACGGACGGACCGGCGCGCTGGGCGGGCCGTGCTGGGCCGTGCTGGGCCGTACTGGGCAGTGCTGGGTCGCGGTGAGGGACTATGTATATGTACTGGCGGTGCGCTGAGTAAATATGCCAGACAAGCCCCTCGAGTGGCCGGACTTTACCGAGGACGTAAAAATGGATGAAAGGATCATTTTCTGAAATGTCGCTAATCAATGACATTTAAATATGAATTAATTAGTAAGTGTTAAAGCAATCGTATGCGGTATAACATGGATAAACAAGCTCTTGTCGCCTGATCAGACCCCATTGTCAGTTAGCGATGACCACCTCACTGCCGGGTGCCCTTTGAGTGTCATTGTGGCCGTGGTAGGCTCGGACAGGAATCTGGCGGCGCCGACGCTTCACGGCTGACCTTTATCGTGACCTATTGACGTCGGTCCGGAGAGAGCCGGGCCTCTCCGGACGCCAGGCCACTGTAAGTCGGATGGGCGCGCCAGAGGGGTCCGTCGCTGAGCTGAAGTGTCATGGGTTTGGCTGGGCGGACGTCCTAGGCTCGCTAGCTGCCGCGACTGCCGCTGTCACTGCTGGTAAATGAGGCGATTATGTTGAGCAGGAGTGGCGCCGGTCAGCGCCGAGATGGACCGAGGGCGGTGTCCGGAACTTAGAGCCGGAGCCGGAACTGTCCGAGACTGTCAGGAACTGTCTGAAATCAGGCAGTTATCTGGCGCCCGGCTGGGTCAGTGTGGTTTCTGTATGTATTTCCACACGGTCGCTCACCCACCACGGGCTATCGCCGACCTCGCACTGCCGCGGCCCGCGGCTCCCGTCCACTGCGTGTCGCACCGCGTGTCGCCGCCGGGGAGACATATGGCCGGCACATGGGCCCGCGTCGGCCGAGTCCGACCCCAGCCCCGTCCACCCGGCCCGGGTCCGGGCCAGACCGATACAGTTACACACCCCCCTGATCTACAAGATCACAAATCCATAATCAGCACAAAAATGCACATAACATGACACAACATAACAAGGCGAATACCTAATAATACACCGGTGTTCCATAGCGCTGTGCCGGGCGACTCTCCCGCTCGGTGCGCCGCAGGGTTCGTGGTGCAACGACTCCTGTTACATCGTCATTGGAAGCATCATTAGCACGAGTGCATTCAGTGCGAGGCGTGACATCAGACATGACACTCACTACGGGGCCAGGACCAGAATCAGCATTATGTGGCTGCGCGGATACTAAAAGTGGCAGCTCATTTTCGGCACCCTCTGTGTCGTCAACCGAACAGTTATCGCTCACGTTGACGGTGCGGTGTCGCACGTTTCTAACATGATGAGGGGTGCCATCAACTACTACTACCTGTGGAGAAACTACTGAGGACACAACACCAGGTTCAGACACGTCCGTGCATCGCGTGCCACGGCGCCTGACCCACACAGCGTCACCAGGGGCGAACTCGCCCGTCCCGCGCGGCGCCGCCGGCTCCGAGCCGTCCGATCCCTCGCGGCCATTCCCACGGCCGTACGTTCCCTGGCTGCGCCCTTGACCGTCACTGTCACCGACTGGCAGCTGGCGACCAGCTGACCCGACACAGTCGCGCACTGTGTAGCGATAAATCCGACCGACGGGGGCATCACTGGCGCTGTCGCTGTCGCGGGGCGACACATTGTATAGGTGTACGGCCTCTGGGATTGAGCATTGCTTTCGAGCGGCAATAACCTTAACTGTCCGGTGATGCCGTTCAACAATGCCGTTACCACCCGGCTCGTACGCTGCCCGGAACCGCAAAACCACGCCCCATTTCGCCGCGAACGCCGCAAAATGTCGTCCACGAAACACAGTGTCATTATCACAAAGAATCTCGCATGGCGCTCCACGTTCGCATAATATCGCTTCCAGATGCGACACAACATTTTCCGCGTCCGGCCGACGCAACTGCCGCCACAAACCGAACCGAGACGGACCGCAATCGATCACTGTCAGGTACGACTGGTGCTGGTAGTGGGTGACGTCGATGGCCAGCCGCTGCCACGTCTCCGTTACCTCCAGCGATCCGTGACGCCAGGTGACCGGTGCCGGATCGATTGAGCGGCAGACGTCACAGTGATGCACAACAGCACGCACCTGAGACCGAGTAATGGTAGGAGCGATGTCACGACGGGCGAAATACCAGGTGCGGCGAATCCCTGGGTGACCGGCGCGCTCGTGCAGCTCAGCAATAGAGGCGTCCACTGTTGCCCCGGTCGCCACCGTCGCTTCTGTGCCGGCGGCCACCGCCGCGCCGACCACCGCGGTCGCACCCGTGTCGGCGGCCACAGCCGTGCCGACTGCCGCTTCCGTGTCGGCGGCCACCGCCGTGCCGACTGCCGCTCCCGTGTCGGCGGCCACCGCCGTGCCGACTGCCGCGGGCCCTGATGTGTCATGCCTCAGCCACTCTTTCGGAACCCGTGTCAGGGCGTCTGCGCGATTTTCGTCTGACCTGACCAGGGTCACTGTCAGCACGAGACCCATTTCGTCTACCAGCTGGCGAATAAGGTCGACACGCCGCCG